CTGCTGTTTGCACATAAATTCTGCCTTCTCCTGGGAAAAGTAACAGCAGAGGCTGCTTCCCAGGACACAGATAACCTGGCCGCCTCCCTGTCCACAGTACAAAACAAGGTGCCTTCGTATCTGTTATTTCTTTGGATAAGCAGCAACTTTCTTTCTCTGTTTACACAGTAAGTGGCAGTCTGTTCCCACTTCCATTTCCCGGACTGGGAAAGGTGCAGAGAAGGCAGAACCTTCCACTCAGGTGGAAGAAGTCAGAGCCTGGATTTGAACCCAGTCGTCTACCTGTGCTCTTTCCCCCGAGTAGGCTGCCTTGGCGTCTCTGGATCGCCACGCCCAGCTTGTCAGGGCTGCCAGGCAAGGCTGATCCACCACTGTCTTCTTTGGCATGAAGGAGGCCTTGGGAAAGGCTCCAGTGGTCACATGAGGCCTGAGGCCGGTGTCTGGGACTGAATCCAATCCCTTTTCTGGAGGTTAGGAAGCTGAAATGGTCAGAGAACTGGATATCATGCCTGACCAAGATGATATCCAGCCACCGGCCCTAGGTCCATCAGCTGGTACAGACAGACTCTCCTTAGCCTGACCCTGTGCCGAGTACTCGAAATACAAAGACAGGCAGGGTGGTGGTGGGGGGTGTATGTGGAAGGCAATTACCTGGCCCTCAGCGGCAGCTTGGAGGCTATGAGTAGCCCAGTCAGACTGCCTTCAAATCCCGCCCCTGCCATTTACTAGCTGGGTGACTGAACAAGTCACTGCATTCCTCAGCTTCTATTTCCTTATCTGTAAAAGAAGCAAATTACAGTATCCCCTGGACAGGGTGTTATGAAGATTAATTGAGGTGATACCGGAAAAGCATTTAGTATAGTCCCAGGAAGTGGGCTAGGCTCAATAAGTAATGTCTGAGAAGCCCCAAACCCTGTGGAGATGGGGCTCCCTCCCTCTCCTTTGCTCTATGGTTCAGTGCTCAGAAGAGAAAAACACACATACTCAGACACACACACACACACTCTCAGACGCACACATGCATACACGCTCACATGCTATTACACAATTTCATAGAATTAGAAAGCAATTCTAACCATGGGATGATGGGTGGACTTCAGCTTTTCCATTACAGAGATATTTATTATGTTCACTTTATAATCAGAAAAAATAAAGATATTTAAAAATTATTGTGTGCTACTCTGTGCCAGGCACAGTATCAGGCTCTTTTGACGTGGCACCCCTCACCCTTACAACATCCTTCACCCATGTTATAGATAAGCATAGGTAAGCTTAGAGAAGCAAAATGACCCGACCAAGAGCACGTCGCTTCTCAAAATGATGCCAAGATCTGACCCCAGTATTGGAATCTGGTAAGTACAAAGCAATTCGGCTTGGCAGGTCAGGGAAAGCTTTGTGGAGATGATACTTGAGCTGAACCTGGAAATCTGAGTAGGACTTTGCCAGGCCAGGGTTCTCAACCTGGGGGGATTTCGACCCCAGGGGACATGTGATGAGGTCCGGAGACATTTTTGGTTGTCACAGCTTGGTGGAGGGGTGCTACTGGGATCTAGTGGATAGAGAGAGGCCAGAAATGCTGCTAAATATACAATGCACAACAAACACTTATCTGGCTGCAAATGTCAATAGTGCAGAGTATGATATAACATACTAGAGCTGTTATTATTTATTGGGTGCTTACTATGTGCCAAATGCAGTACTAAATTTTTGCAAATGTCATCTTATTTAATCCAACTGCATTACTCCATGCTGGCAATCAGATATGAGGCTCAGAGATGGTAAGTAACATTCCTAAGGTCACACAGCCAGAAAATGGTAGTGCTAGGTTTGGAGCTGCCTGAGTACAAAGCCAGAGCTCTTAACCTTTCTGTTCTGCTGCTTCCAGGATTTATAACAAATCTAAAAGCGTCAGGCCAAGTGCTAGGTGGGATGTGAAGGGTCTCCAGCTGAACCCAGGTACAGCCTCCTCTGGACTTGAGGCCTTGGGTGAGGTCTTTCCCTCCCCTTCTGCCATTTCCCCATCTGTAAGTGAAGTTTGCACCAGACAATCTCCAAAGCCCTGCCAGCACTGAGTCTGTTATGCTTCAGGAGAGGGGCCTAATCCCAGGCTACGGGAGCCTGCAGCTGGGAGAAGAGGGTGTATGATGGACACGCTCAACCTCACTCCCAGAGCATAACTAGCTAATGAGCTCTGCTTCCGTACAAGTAGAAAGAGGCAGGTGAGGGTAGGGAGTGGCTTGAACCTACCCAGGAGCTTACCTCTCTAGTGGGGAAGCATGTTTCTCTGCTGCCTTCTTGCCAAGCCCAAAAGAGGCACCAAAGCCAAGTCTCCTCAGGCAACAGAGGCAGGTCTGGGCATTTTCCCAGCTGGACACATGAGTTCTCATAGGTAGAAGGAGAAAGAACAGAAGTGCATGCTGACTCAGCCCCTACCACATGTCAGATGTCTCAAACAGTGAATCCATCTCAGGTCAGCCTTATGAAAATTCTGATAGGAAAGAATCAACCTGACCCCAGTTTACAGATGGGATTATTAAGGCCTACATGCAGTGACTTGTTAAGTTAGATAGCGCTGAAGGAAGGTTTGGAACAAAAGCGTGTCTGACCCCGGGGCAGTACACCACAGAGTGAATAGTGTCCCATTCTTTTTTTTTTTTTTTTCACTGAAGAATGAAAGTTTTTCAATAACATTTGGAGAAAAATATATGTTCAATTTCTCCTGCCTTCCCCAGGACACAGAATGGACTACAAAAAGCCAAAACACAATAATTATGATCTCCTGGGTTGCAGGTGGGGGAACCAAGGCTCCAAAGGCAAAGGCCTCTCCAGCTAGAAAGTCAGACAGGCAGAGGAGGAGCAGGGGAGGGATCTGGCTTGGGTCACGCGTGTTTTCTAGCCTGGATCTCACTGTCTGGCAGTGTGGCTTTGGTTAAGTCATATCACCTGTCTGGACCTCAGCCTCCATATCAACATAATAAAAAAGTTGGACAGAGTCCCTTCAAACTCTTACAACCTGTGCCCAAATCTTGTCAAAGGTCCTTCCTCTTCCTTGCTTATGTGACTTCACAGACAGGGAGATGGGGACACCAGTGCCTGGCACAAGGAACTCTGGGGACAGAGGACCAATATTAGCTTTCTGCAAGCTCCCAGATTATCCAACCCTTGTTCTCCATCCTCAAAGAGCCAGACTGGAAAGGAGTCAGTCGTGGTTTGGGTATGAAAGGGACAGGGAGGGGGCTGATGGTGAACGTGAGGCCATTTCTCCTGGGACCAATGCTCATTTTCATAGGCATCTCCTAGGTGCAGGCTTACTCTCAGAGATTCATATACAAGAGGGAAGAAAGCCCCTACAATATGGGGGAAAGGAATTATTTAGCTTCTGCATAAGCATCTTGAGGGTGAGAGAGCTCATTATCTCCCAAGTTAGCCCACTGCATTTTCATAAAATGTTTGAGTCAGAAACCTTCTGCTTCCAAAGGCTCTACAATTCTGGGCCAGCTTGGGCTAAGGTTGGTCATTCATTCATTCAACTTTTACTGACTTGCACTGTTAGCTATGCCTTGTGCCAGGCTTTGGGGCCATAGATATGATGAATAAGAGACTGTCCCTGTTCTTGGGGAATTGTTTGCTAAACTGGTACGCCAAGGCCAGAGACGTGGGGCTGCTGGATTTAAATGGTTTAGCTTGAGAAAAAGATCTCAGGCTCCAATGAGCTTAGGAACTATTTTATTAAACATAGTAAAATGAGTTTCTTTGCAATAAGATTTCTCTAAGCCTTTAATAGAAAAATGTACACTGAGAATCCTCCAAGGGATTATAGAGAATATACTATATTTCCCAAATATAGCTGATCTTGGAACATTAGTTTTTAAAACATTATACTTATTAAGAGAAAACACTACAGGAAATGCAGCTCTAATGCTGTTTTTTATTTGGCCAGTGGAGCTTGGAGAAGGCTTGTACAGAAAGGATGTTTGAGCAGGTCTTTGATAATTGAGTAGGAGTTGGTTAGTGAAGATGAGAAGGTTTAAGGGAGACCAATTACAGTCCTAGGCTGACTATGGTCAGGTTACTGTGCATGTACTGTTTCACTTAGTTCTCAAAGGTCCTGATGTGGGTGACAGAGCCACGAAGGTCATCAAAAGCCCCTGGAGACTCCTAAAGGTCCACTCCTTTCTTCTCGAATCACCTCATCGCAGGGCTTTATTCTCCAAATCTTAAGTCTTTAAGTCCTCTCAACCAGGACTCTACTCCAATTTAAACCCCAAATGATTCTTACAGTATCTGAATTGGATCCCAGCCTTAACCCCTCATACACCTAGGCCTAGCCCTTGACAGCCAAACCCACTCTCTCAGCTGTTTGCTGACCCTAACTTAGACCCTCTCTCAGATTTAACCCTGACCTGTCCAGCACAATCTAGTCCTGGTACTGCTCCCTTGGTCCTGATCCACACCTGAGCCCCAGCCATTTGGGCCCCCATGCCTGCTGCTCGGCCACTCCATATAGTCCAGACCCATTCTCAGATGGTGGCCCAGCCTCCTGTCTATCCCTGACTGTGTTCCCACCCCAATCTGTCTTTGTCCCCAACTCTGTCCTGAACCATTCTTATGTGGGCCCCGTCTCCAGGTCCAGCTCCCATGACCGCTGACAGTGGCTCTGCCCTTGCTCAGCTGATTCAGCCCCGTCCCCAGCCAACCCTGCTCCAGCCCGTACCTGGTCCAGCCTCTGATCTCATTTGTCCCTGTGGTCCCACTCTATTGGTGATCTCTGCCCAACCATGGACCTACGCCCACTTCAGGTCTAGGTCAAACTCCGCCCAAGGCCCCGCCTATCACCGAGGCCACGCCCCAGTCCCGCCCTGTACTAGTTCTGATAGGTGCCTGACCCTGCAGGCGGCCCTGTCCCATGACAATTCTGACTGGGCCCCGCCCAAGGTCCAGCTCTGACCGCGCCCCCGAGCCAGCCCCGCCCCCCCGTCCAGCCCTGCCAGGCGGCTCACCTGCAACTCCTCAAAGGCATCGTCGATGCCGGTGACCTGGTGCTGCTCGTGCAGCGCAGGCTCGTCGCAGAAGAAGCAGAGCAATGCGCGGTCCGTGAGGCAGAAGAGCTTGACCTTGTCGTGCGCCTGGCAGGGTCGCGCGGCGCGGCGCGCGTTGAGGATGGCGTCCAGCGGGAAGGCGCTGTAGCGCTCCACGATGTTGGCCAGCTTGAGGCTGGGCGCGAGCGCGGGCTCGGCAAACGTGCGCCGGCATTCCGGGCAGTCACGGGCCCCCTGCGCCTCCTGCCGCACCCAGTGCTCCGTGATGCAGCGGCGGCAGAAGTAGTGCTCGCAGCCCAGACTCACCGGGTCCTGGTAGATACTCAGACAGATGGAGCAGAGCAGCTCGTCCTTGAGACTGCACGCCATGGCGCCAGGGGCGGTGGAAACGGGGGCCTGAGATGTAGGGGAGCGAGAGTGCGGCGCTGTCGGAGGCAGCACTGAAGGATGGGTGCGGGGAGCAGGCCGGGAGAGGCAAGAGTAGGCGCTACAGAAGGAAGGGGGACTGTCCGGAAGAAGGGTAACGCGAGGAAGGGGTGCAGGGCAGAGACTACCCGAGATGTGAGTCTAGGAAGGTGGTCTCGAGGTAGTGGGTGACCCGGAGCGATGGGTGCTGGAGGAAGGGGGCCGTGGGTGTCTGAGGGAAGGGACTCCTGGCAAGAAGGTTCTAGGGGAAGGGACAGTTCAATGGAATGGGTGCTGGGAGAAAGGGATCTAGGAGGGGGACGGAGGCCTTGGGGTGGGGGCTGAAATCCCGGGATGGGTGAAGTAGGGGGAGGGGGAGAGCTGGGGATAGGGAATTCTGGAGGAGCGAGAAGGCAGGCGGAGCCGCTGTGCCTGGCAGAGGAGAGGAGGGGTGAGAGGACGCTCAGCTTCCTGATCCCGGCCCCAAGACCTGGCCCGGAGCGGCCCCTTACCCGCGCCGGCTCAGCAGCCACTGCTCTGGTCCCAGCGCAGCCTCTCAACCCGGAACCAGCCGAGCCTGAGCTGCCGGCAGCCTCTACTCCCACCCCGCCCCGGTGGGCGGGATCCAAACGACTCCACCCCCTAGGCGGGTTGGGGAGGAGGGGCAGGGCCTGGCCTCCAGCCCCTAGACCCCCTCCCCGCTCCCATCATTCTCCAGCTCCCTAGAGCGTGAAACAGCTGTTCCTTCAGGATTTGCACAGGGAATAACATCCAGGTTTTGCTTAGGGTCCCTGCGGCGGGTGGAGGAGGGGTCAGCTAGTGTGAGAGGCTAACGAGTCAGAGAGGAACATCTTTTTAGATCATCGATTTGAAGATTTGGGAAAAATAACACTTTGTATTAAAACAAGGATATGTTGTATAATCTGCATAGAATACAACTTTTGCATAAAATGTAAAGATAAAACTTGAGAAACACCTTGCTTGCTTAGAGCAAGTTCAAGGTCTTCACATTTCTAAGTCCTGGGGTTCCATTTTCTCTTTACTTTCTCAAGGAGTGCTTGGAGAAGTTTGGAAGGCTCTGGCCCTGGCTAATGTCTGACCCAAGGAGTTGGCTCCATTCAGCAAACTTTTCTGGGGTGCCATATTTGTGTATGTATGTGGAGGGGGCTGGGGAGTGGAGCAGGAAAGCTGGAGGAAGAGTCATAGGAGACCTTGTCTCCTATGCCAGATGGAGAAGAGGTTTCTAGGCAGAGGGGACTGCATGTGCAAAAGCATAGAGGCGTGAAAAGGGAGGGCACTTTGGGAGAAGTGCAATAGTTCTGTACTGTTGGGGGTGGGGTGGAGAAGGGGCTTGGGTGAGGTGGAGGGTGCTGAGGGTCATGGTAAAGGATTTCCTGAGAGCACTGGGCTTTCAAACAGGGGCATGATCTGGTCTGATGCGAGTTTCAGAAAGTTAAGGAGACGCGCATTATACCAGCAGCAAGGTCAAGACAGGGGCCCTTTCTGATGTGTCTGAATATGTTCAGTGCTCCTCACACAGTAAAGATATATAGCTGAATAACAGCAGCAAAAACGTGGATTGCAGGAAGAGAGAGTGGGCATAAGGTCACTGTTGTCATAGAGCCTGCAGGCGGTGAGACCTGAACTGGGGCCATGACAGTGGATAAGGAGAGAAAGCTAGTATTGAACGTATAGACACTATGCAATTTGCAATGGATTGGATATGGGGATGAGAGACAAGGAGGCATTAGGGATGGCTCCCCAGTTTCTGACTCCTCCAGCAGTATCTTCACTGGAGTTAAACTTTATTAAGGTACAATTTAAAAAACAGCCTGAAGTTTACTACGCTGCTGTTTATGTGTCCTCTATCACACCATCACCTGGTACCGTGTCTCCATCATTGCCAAAAAGAAGTTGGTAGCTCATGCAGCAACCATTCCTCAACTTTTTTCTTGTGGTCAGTGGTCCAAAAGTGGTCCACAAGTGGTCCCATTCCCATGCAACCAAGGGAAACCATTCCTCAACTTTTTTCTTGTGGTCAGTGGTCCACAAGTGGTCCCATTCCCATGTAACCAAGGGAAGTGGTCCCATTCCTCATGTGACCAAGGGAAGGCTGACCCCAGGCCACTCCAGGAGTGAGTTTCATTTGGTCCAAGTCCATTACGGTGGTTGCATGCCTCTTGCCAGGCAGGTCTGGCCTGAAAAACCAAAGGGGAAGCTTATGATGGAGAAGGAACTTCTGAAAAGGATCTCTTCACTTTCAGAATTATTCTACCCCCTTTGCTTTACGTTGGTGGTGATGCTTGGGATTGCAGCAGCCATCCTGTTCCCATTCTGAGGATGCAGCCAACACATGGCTGAGTCTAAGAGAGTCCTAGGGAAGAGGAGCTGGTACTCTGATGCAGAGCCTAGACTTTTGGATATGTGAGATTGACCATCTTATTACTTAAATAAATTTAATACCCATGTTCTGTCACTTGGCAACCAAAAGAATACACTGATATGCACCACCCATTTTTTTTTTTTTTGTAAAGAGGGCAGCGTTGAAATTACTGAATTTGAAGTGAAATGAAAAAAAGCTTGATATGGATGAAATAGTGGGCTTCATTTATTCAACATGTAATTCATCTTCCTCTTCTATAGCAACATAGTAGCTGGAAAAATGGCTGGTCTGCTGGAGACGCCACTTTCCAGCCTTTCTTGCAGCTGAATATGGCTTCTTGACTAACTCATTTCCAAAAGAATGTAAATAGAAATAGCCCGTAAGGCATTTACTGATATTGACTCTGGGCAGCAACTTGGTGAATAGTGTCCCATTCTTATGCCCTTGTGCTAGGGAATATAATAAACTATGCCCCCTTACTCTCAAGGAGCTTACAGTCTAGAGGGAAATAATGAGAAATTCTTATCAAACCCAGTAGTGTTTACTGAGCACTCTCACATAAATTATTGGATTTGAGTCTCATAGCAATCTTAACCAGTAGATATTATTGTCCCCATTTTATAGAGGAAGATACTGAGGCTCAGAGAAAGGAGGTGTAATGGAAATTTCTAGTTTTCCACCAAATCCCTCCTCCTCTTCTTTTATAACAATATAATAGCCAGAGAAATGGCTGGTCTAACAGAGACTGCACTTTCCAGCTGCTCTTGCAACTGAGTGTAGCTTTGTGACCCTTTCCAAAAATAGACAAAAATAGAAATAGTCCTTAAAGCATTGGGCTTTTGCACTTCCGTGCTTCATTTCCTCTTCTCCTGAGTTGGAACACAGGTGTGCCAGGGACCCGGCTTCAATAATACTTCAAAGGGACTGACAGAGCAAAGATATGGAATGAACTTGAGTTCCTGAGTGACTACATGGAGTTGAGCCACCCACCCATATGGACTAGAGAGTGAGAAATAAACTCCCATTTTCTATCAGCCATTGTATTTTCAGTCTCTGTTGCAGCACGTTAGTCTTCTCCATGCTATTCTGTGTCTGTTTTGAGAAGAAATTCTGGTACTATATTATGCTGTTGTCTAAATCCTTTCAGTAGCTAAGTTCTTTTTAATATCTAGCTCCAGTCTCTTTCAAAGTGTACAGAATATGGTTTTCTCTGGCTGGAAGTGATAGCCTCTTTGACTTTTTACAATACTTTCCAGCTTTTAGCCTTTTTGCCCTTCGAGCTGTTCTTCTCCTGACCTTCTGCCATCTCAGTTGTTAAAGAAAAAACCCATAGGCCCAAAATGGCTTCACTCATGCTAAAAGCCCATGATACCAAACTTTGATTAAATACCTGATCTAATTGTAATTTCAGCCTCTTCCAGAAACATAATCTTAATCAACCAGTATGGAATTTTCTGGTCAGGCACCAGTAAGGTAATCTGTCATGTGGGCCCTCTCCATCCCTCAAAGGAAGAAGATGCAATCTACATAATAAAAGCCCTTTCCCTTCTCTTCACCCAAAGAAAGGTGTCCAGGCCCCCAAATAATCCTTTTTCTTTCACTAATAGCTCCCTTGCCCCACCCTTCTTTCTATAAAATCCTTCCATTTTTTACAACTCCTCAGAGCATCCTTCTAGTTACTAGATGGGATGCTGCCTGATTCTTGAATCACTTAATAAAGCCAATTAGATCTTCAAATTTACTCAGGTGAATTTTGTTTTTAATACAGTTAAGATGTAGAACATTATACTCAAACTGGTTTTCATTTAAGTTTGTCAAGTCATTGGTCTTTCTGGATCTCTGTTTCCCCAACCTGATGCTGTTGAGGGGTCTGACTAAGACTTGGAAATTCTGACTGCAGTATATGCCACCCATTTTGGGAAATTTTTTTGGAAAACTATCCAAGAGATATCGTGTGAATAAAAAAAGGAAACCCAAACACACACAGACACAGCAGAAACAAACACACACAGTTATACACATGTGTACAGGCATTATATACATAGCAAAAATCTTTAGAACTCTAGTAATTCTAACTATGTTTATCTATAGGCTAGGATTATGGTGTGGCTTTAACTTTTACATTGTATAGCTCTGTTTAATTTTATAATCAGAAAAAATAAAGACAGTGGATTCTCATTATCCATGGATTCTGTATTTGCAAATTCACCTACTCATTTTTTTAATTAATTAATTTTTTTATGGTGACATTGGTTAACGAAATCCAATAAGTTCCAGGTAACATTGGCTCAGGCCCGTTGAAAGGGGAAGGGGCAAGTGAATGAACATTCCTTGAGTCTCCTGTGTGCCAGTCATCACGCTAGGTGCTTCCCATCCATTCTTTTATTTAATACTCACAACAGCCATATATATATTTCACAGTCCTTTTGGACATACACATGCACAGAGTGGTGGAAATTCAGAATTGCCCAACATGCACGATCCCAGCTGAGGCTGCACAGAGTGGCCTCTGCCCTCGTCTCAGCTCTCATGTTGTAAACTAGTGTCCTTTTCGTGGTGTGTTCAGTGTCACGTGTTTCTCATTTTTGTGCTTTTTTTGTTGTTGGTGATTTTGCTTTTTAAAATGGCCCCCAACTGTAATACTGATGTGCTATCTAGTGTTTCTAAGGGCAAGAAGGCTGTGATGTGCTTTATGGAGAAAATATGAGTGTTGGATGAGCTTCATTCAGACATCAATTATAGTGCTGTTGGCCACAAGTTCAATGTTAATGAATCAACAGTATATATTAAATAAGGTGTCTTTAAACAGAAACACACATAAAACATGTAAATGTATTGATTGGTTGGTGAAAATGTGGCCAGAGGCTCACAGGAACCTAACCCTGTATTTCCTCAAGGAATAATGATTCAGTATTCACTATTTCAGTCTTTGGGGCAACTTTATAGAAAAGAACCACCATGAATAATGAGGGTCAACTGCATTTAAAATTGTGATTTCTAACAGCATCCACTCATGAAAGATACCAATATGCCTGTCCCTTTTCCATCCAGGTAACATTGGCTCAGGCCTGTTGAAAGGGGAAGAGGCAAGAGAATGAACATTCCTTGAGTCTTCTGTGTGCCAGTCATCATGCTAGGTGCTTCACATCCATTCTTTTATT